TGGCAAAAGGGGAAACAAATATTTGGAGAGCAAGCTGCACCGCCCACTTAATAAGCACTTTTTGTTTTTGGTTTGGCAACCGCCCCTTTTTAATACAATATTAACAGTTAAACCTGTCTCGTTCTTACTAGCCACTGAAGAGTGCAACCGAACTTTGTAAACAGTGAGAAAGTGCAGGCGAGCTGGTAATCAATCGACATCTTGTAAACCCTGAGATGGGGAACGATAAAAAAAAAAAACGGACGAACACAACAAAATCTTCTTGTTGTGTTCGTCCGTTTTTGTTGTTGTGTGATTTTGTTGTGTTCGTCCGTTTTTTTATCGTTCCCCATCTCAGGGTTTACAAGATGTCGAACTTTGTCCAAATTTCGGTTAAGAAATCAAACATGTCAACACAAGCGTATTCTGCAAAACAAGTTTAAAAACCCTTTGTGGTACTACTCTGGGCAAAGGCTAAAACCACCCAGACCTCAAAGTGTGCTATACAAGGTGGCACATACTCCTCGAACATGTGTCACACTCTCTATTATGGGAAGAAAGTGATTTCCTAGTTGCTGAATGAAATGAAAGGCAGCCTGTGGTGGTACTTCTAAGTTCCCGAAGAATTTTCCAGGCACGTGGTATGCTTTAGGAACAAGACAGTACTGGTGAGGCCTGGTCAAGTTATTAGACTCATCCGATAGCAGCTGAGAACAGCCACAGCTGTAAGTTGTCTGTTCAAGCAAAAGCTTGATCAAATAGCCCCAAACGTAATAAAAAAGTGGACGAGTCATCAATTATGTTAGACCTGATGTCTGATGCCAGCTCAGAAATATCCTCTAGTGGCGGGAAGTTATCAATTGGAAGACATTCCACAATGTCTGAAATCAAACTTCCATGGTGCGAAGATATTTGTAACTCCTTTAGGAGGTCAGCCTTGTTATCCTCTACGTTTTCATTGTCCGACAGCTTGAACAGTTTCTTTATTCAGAGATGTTTTAGTCCTGAGTTGAACTGATGCACCTTTGGGTTTGTGTTGCAGCCCAGCATCTGTCGTATATAGCTCCAAAAACGTTCTCAAGTGTGTCTAGCTGCAGGCGTCGTGTAAGTAAGAAATCAAAGTCATGGCTGCTTGAAAGCTCATCCCAAAGCATGAGGACACTTTTTATAGTAACTTGCCACCCAATGATGACTTATGGCTGCCTCCTACTTTGGAACTGCCATGCTGAAATCCATCCGAGTTATTGGTGGAGAAAATCAAGTATTTGAGATTCTCCCTTCAGAAAGGCATGAGGCAACTTCTGCCATGTCTTCTTGAATTTTTTAGCTATTTAGACAATCAAAAAGTATGCACATCCTATCACAAAAATAGGCTGTAGCCATGGCTGTCTCAGAAAGTTCCTTGGCATAAACAAGGGATATGATTGCAAGAAAGAGTGAGGCACTCAGTACCTGTGGGGCACAATTTCCTTCCATGTTACATAAAGGTCCTTGAAAAAGTGTGTCTCTCGAGTTTCGGAGCCAATTGCAAGCTCATCTCATGGATAGAACAATAAATTTCAACAATAGAAGACCACTCAACGACCTAATTTCCAATGCAAAGTTTGTGGGCTTGGAGATTGCTCTTGGTTGTTTTGGGAAGGTGCGGAACATCAAAGACAAAGTAAACCTGTTCGTTGTCAACTTCAAAAAATGGCTTATGACCACACACACCAAGCTTACGTTTGAAGCTCCCTAACCACAGACTTTACTGTGAAGCCAACAGTCTTAAAGGGGCGAAGCACTGATATTTGTATTTTGCGCAAATACCGCTTAAAACAAATCCCTGGCGTTATTGATCTGTGAAATACCCGTTCGTTTTCACCATACGCAATCGAAGTCGCAGAAAAAAATATAAAAAAAAAAACGAGCAGAGTTCATCCCCTCAACTCGCAGCTAGAACAAGCGGCGCCGTGATCTGGCGCCGATTATATGCCGGCCAATGTTGATCATAGCCATGCGCTGGGGTTGGCAAGGCACAGGACACGCGCTGAGTTCCAGACATTGTTATGGTTCGGCTGTTGTCGTCATTGCAGCGATTGGACACAGGACACTACCCGAATGTTTATCGAGCTATCCATTATCACGAGCCCAAATCGAGTGTCCACGCCATGCTCGGGTCCAATCTATGAGCCGTATTCAAATATCGTCACTGGGCGGTAATGCTACCGCCCAGCTACGTCATCAGGTTTTTCGAAGGAGAGATTGAATGAAAACACTCGGTTTTGTCCTCGAAATTACAGCGCAACAAAGGAGTTTCTTGGTCAGTGGCGTTGCGTGCGAGTATCCTTGAGCCCCACTAGTCCCAGTAAGCTTGTGTAAAGTGAAAAACATTCTAATTGAATATCGTTGCACCGCCCCTTAAAGCTTCCGAATGAGAGAAATGAGGAGGCTGCGTTAAACAGAAGACGTTATTGAAGTGTGCACAGCAGTGTATGCAAGGGGCTAAACGCACCTCCTGGAAATTTCAGACAGCATAACAACCAAGGCTCTATCTGCAATGTCGAGGTTCGTTCAACACCGTCATCTGTAAACCCATGGACAACGTCGTGTGCAGGGTCGTAAGTTAAATTCTTTTTTAAAACAATCTCATCGAAAATCAACATGCACATACGTTCAAGTGCAGCCAGACAGCCCGGCAGAAACAACAGCGCGAGAAGCTCGAACCGATCGGCTCCACGAATTCACGCCGAGCATGCGAGCACGCGGGCGGTCATGCATCACCTTGATTGATGCAAAGTCGACCGAACATGATGCAGCAGAAAGCACAGATGGAAGGCACGCACGGCACAGACGAACGACGCAGGGACGAGCAGAGGCCATGCAGAATGATGCAGAGGTGACGGCGTGCAGGCAGGCAGGCCATGGCAGGCGCCATTCATCACGTGGTTTTTGTGACGCATTTGATTTAAACTATTTAGTCGTTTTAAGTACTTTAAACAATTTTAAAGCATTGTCATTTAAAATATAAATACTTTTCACACAAAGAGTTTTAATTAATTTTAACCAAATTAGGGTGCCTGCATGTCTGTCTGTCTCAGGGTGAAGACATCCATTGTTGCCCTGAATGTGCCAGCGCGTGACGCTCTCGCGCACTCGGTCCGTGGCTTGGGCGGTAAAATGGCCTCTCTGAATTAGCCAAGGCTACGCGCTCGAGCTGAGTGACACCGGATTGCGCGCGCTTCAAATTGCATAAAAAAACGATTGGGCGGAAAAATGGCTGAGATGTCACCACTCAAGCAAAAGCGCGTGTGTATGAAGGCACTCTAAACCAAATTGTAGAAAAGCGCCACGTAGCGGAGGGTATGAAACGCACTATCTGGGCCGCGAATCGGTTCCTGTGTCCTCTCTTTACGTTTACTATATTACTCTATGACCGCGCCACCGCGCTGCTATAACCCACCACGATAACCAGAGTCTCGATCTCCTAAATACTACCGATACCGACTATTCACACTTGACGTCACTCCCTACGTCACCTCCGTTTTCGGAGGCCCAGAAACGAGACTGGAGATGGTTTAGTTTCGGTTTCTTTACTTCTTTCATCGGCACATAAATACGCGTCATAAATGTCTACAAAAAATTGGGCGGCATGCTATGTTCCCAAGAAGCATTAAAACACCACTTAAAAAAATTAAATAAAATCGTCTTCATTGTCCCTCGGAGATGCACCACGGGACAAAACCAACGTAACTGAAACTGAGTTGGCGACAAGACGACAGCGGCCATACACGCCATTCGTACAGATCAGGAAAAACAGCAACGTCGCTACAATAAGAAGCGGTGCAGCGCTTCGACCTTTGAGCCCGGAGACATCGTCGTGGTGGAGAGAGAATCACTTCCTATATAGGACATTCAAGAAAGCTTTTAAAAAGGTTTTAAGGTCCCTACGTAGTAACGGAGAAGCTTCCAAATGACACATATCGTATAGAGGACATTCCGGGCCGATCACTTAGCGTTTCTACACGTCTACGGCCCCGATTGACAAGATGAAGCGTTACTATGCCTTCGACTTAGACAACGAACCCGATCATAACGACTGCGAAGACGAAGAAGACAATTGAGGCAATTTTTCATAGGATAGCCGAGTGTTAGCATCCTGCTGAGCACGAGAGCGCAGAGAGAGACGAGGACGACGGTGAGCACCTGCGAAACATGCAACGATACGAACGTTAAAAGCTCTGTACATATAAAATGCTTTCTACCTTTTGACAACTGCGTATTTGACGACTAACACAAGGGCATATTTTTTCACGCGCTCACGCTTAGCTACTCATAAGGTAAGGCAAAGAATAGTGGTCAGTGACTCTGTTTATTCAAAATAGCACTGGGTGGCAAAATATTTGCAAATGTTACGTAGTCGAACACATTTCCCCACTTTCCGAGCCGTCGATATGTGCCCGCACGTCGTGATATTTCACTAATTCCTTTTCTTCAAAATTAGAAAATGATAGTTCCGACGTTCAGTTTTAGTTAACTACGAAAAAACATTCCATTTCTATTATATGGTGAGACATACGGAGGCGTAATCAAATAAAAACACAGCCTTACCAATGCTGCCTCAGCGCGCCGCTAACGTGTATAAGTGCCGCAGCGCCATCTACTTTTTCCCTGGCGAAGTGCCACGCCTGAGCCGGCGCGCTCGCCACACTTCTCCTTGTAGCCACTGTACCCGGGGTCCCGAGTGAAAGATCGCAAAAGAGAGCGACAGAACACGAGAGAAAGAAAGCAACGTTGCCAGCTGAAGGACGGCAGTCGCAATGGTGAACGCGAAGAGTGAAAACTCTCAGCAATATAAACAGTGATAATTTAACGTTGTAAACTAAATTATGAGCTATTTTAACGCATCATCACGAACCAGCGCAAGTAGACAGTTAAGGGCCACGCACACTAGCGAGAAAACGCGCGCGGCGCGCCGATCGCGGGAAAACGCGTCCCGCATCCTGAAGACCACACTAGATAGAGTTCTGCCGCCGCGAATGTCACCTGACAGCACAGGAGGCCTCGCGCACTCTTGAAGCATCCGAGCGAGCGCATGATTTCCCGCAATATCTCGAGGATCCTCGAGGCAATCGAGCGGGCGAGGGACGCTTTTGCTCGCCGAAGATCGAGTCCACACCGTGATCGAGTCATGACAGGTACAGATGAGCTCGTAATTACGGTCAACACAATCATTCTTGTGTGCTCACTACTTCTCCGTCGTCGGCGCTTCCAAAAAGCCAAGAAACGTAGATGGTGGGTTCGACCAAGCTTGCGCTACCGAAATCTGGAAGGACAGGCCAGTGCTTTGCTGCCTCGCCTGCGCGCCACAGACGAAATTTACTTTCGAGAGTGAGTAACTACAACCATTCTCTACCTTAAAAGTGTTCACCATATACAATGGTAAACGGATGTTTTTTTTATCGCTTTTTGGTCTCCAGCTTCCTGCGAATGGCACCCAGCACATTTGATTCCTTGCTGGAACTCATCCGTCCAGCGATCGAACGTAAGGTGACGCCGTTCCGCGACCCGATATCAGCACACGACCGGCTTGTTATCACCGTCAGGTAAAGGGGGGGGGGGGGGGGGGGAAAGGGGGGGGGGGGATTGGCATTACGACGTCAGCATATCGCTATCTTGATGTTATAATGAATCTTCCGAGTGAGCAAGCAGGTCTTGCGGAGAATTAAAAGCAACTGCGAGGTGCGCTAAGCGAGCGTTGTAAGAAAAAAAAACGCGCGTATTACCAAGACACCTCTTCTTTTGTGATTCCAGATTCCTTGCAAATGGCGACACATTCCGTAGTTCGTCTTTTAATTTTTTGGTGGGCCAATCAACAGCGGCTGGGATTGTGAAGGAAACATGCGCTGCAATGTGGAACATTCTGCAGCCCATCTACGTGAAATTTCCACAGGGGCCAACCGAATGGAAAAAGGTTAGGGACGGTACCTGTTAGGTCACACTATGCCATGCTCACTTCCCACTTTTTTTGTGACCACCATTATTTTAGATTGCAGCAGAGATAGATTTACTCTGGAATTTTCCTAATTGTATTGGTTGCATTGATGGAAAACATGTCAACATTGAGTGCCCCAGCAACTCAGGTGCAAGAAACCTGAACTATAAGAAGACATTTAGTACAGTTCTTATGGCAGTATGTGATGCACGCTACAGGTAGGATTCATTTGATCAATTATTTAAATAAGTGTTTTTAATAGCATGGCATCTTGGTTATGAGTGCAAAGAAAGCTACCACTACTAAGAAAACGAGGATACTAAAATTTTGTACTTTATATTGCATCATATTGAATGTATCGACTTCTACCTGCTGTTTTATTTCAGCTTCACGTATGTTGACATCGGTCATTATGGCGGAGAGAGTGATGGAGGGGTTTTTTCAAGGACGCCACTTTTCGGGGTTCTAGCTGACAGCGGATATGGCATCCCTCCTCCTGCAAATGTGGGCTCTGCAGGCCTGATCCCCTACTTAATGGTCGGGGATGAGGCGTTTCCGCTGAAGCCCTTTCTCATGAGGCCATATCCTGGGCGCGGCAAGTCTTGCTATTGATTTTCGTATAGTATAGCTTACATTATTTATTTGTAAAAAAAGAAAACAGCATTGTGCTTTCTTTTTATTTAAAAATTATTGCATACTCATTTCGCACGTCATGAAATTAGTTATTTATGGAAATGTACTTTGCAGGAAATGCCATTATTTTATTCTGTTAGCAGATGCATTCGTCTGTGCAGAATCTGTCGGTTTTAACCGGAAAACACGAGCGCGCAGCCTGCCAGAATTGGCACACTATTGCTCGATAGTCAGCTTAATCAGAGACAATGTTACGCATGCGGTGGTTAATACTGACGTCTCAATTTTGCATATTTCTTCAGAGCTCCAAAGTTGCAGAAACAGGGAACCTGACCGGGAAGAGTACCTGAAAATGGCCACCTTTAATTACCGGCTGAGCCGTGCGAGACGGCTCATAGAGAATGCGTTTGGGATCATGGCCAGCAGGTGGCGAATTCTACGAAGAGCATTTCGAGCCTCGGAAGAAACAACAGAAAATATTGTGAAGGCGTGCGTGGCTTTGCACAACTTTCTGCTCAAGAATTCTGCCATGTCAAGGTCAGCGTACAATCCTCCGGGTTATGTGGACAGCGAGGACTGGCAGGGAAATCTCACACATGGGTCATGGAGAAATGACGACAGGGGGCTGCCGTTGAGGGACATGGCGGGCCTGGGGTCCCACTCTCCCGGGTAATTATTCCAGCAGATGGGCCGCGGGGATAAAAAAGTGATATTTAGGTTTGCAATTTCCTACTTGCGTGCATTACCGAAAATGCTATGCCTGCTGACTTTTCATTCCATTGACAGACATTGTGTAATCTTGTACTTCAGGACTGCTTTGGAAGTACGGGACCGACTGGCCACATACTTCCTCAACGAGGGAAAGGTCCCGTGGCAAGAAAGAATCGTAACTCGAGCGGGACAGCAGGTAATGACCGATCATCAAAGTAACTAATTTTTCAACGAAATATTGATGTCTTCTCTGAAGGATGCGAACATCAAGTATAGAAAGTGTACACGATTAAATTTGTAAGTAACGTGCTTCCTTAATTTGTAGTATAGATCTGCAAGACCAAAGTCTTAGATAAATAACACGAACAATGACGTTTCGGTTGAGCATTCATTCCAACATCTTCATCTCAGCCTCATACAGCAGTTGGTTGATCTTATGCATTACCTCACATCTTAGCTTTTGTGAAAGCAATGCCAGTTTGGATTCAATCCATTGTGCCCCCGCCGTACAGTCGTTTTTAATGACAGGCGTGTCGGCCTTGTGCGAGATGGCGTTCAATGTTGCCGAGCAGCTGTGGAGGACGCTCTGCACAGAGTCCTCGAAGCTATCCTGGCCCCGTTGATTCTTTTTTCTGCAAAACAGTCCAAACGTTGATTTTCACGCAATAGTATTTTTTAATAGGAAACAACGTAAGTACCGGGATGATGGCACTTGGTCAGCAGGCCTCTTGGCTGATCTGGGCAAACCAAAGGAAGCAAATCAGCCAGGACGTACAAGAATATTGAAGACATGATTTTCTTACCGTGAAGGACCTACATCGGCTCCCGTGCCTGGGTGTTCATAGATGCTGCAAAATAAAGGCAGACTGTGAATTTGTGCTTCAGTATTGTAAGAGGAGTATGCAGTGCACCTTGCAGCACCAATAAAGGATTGAGACCGCACACCTTGGGCTGTTTTCCTCCGATAGCAAGAGAGCAGGGCCATTGGAGTACCTGGATTATTTATTGCAGATGTGCGGCGTTTCACTCATGGCACAGGCCATGCCACAGGAAAGAGGTTACGACAAAGCAATATAAAGTATGCTTACATTGCTTCAAAAACAACCCTAGCAGGGCTCAGGGGACAGCTGTGCGTAGAAATTTGGTTAAAGTTAGTACCACATTTTGTTGTGCTCTGACCACAGGTAATTTAAACATGAGTGGTGTCTACCTTTCTGCGTGGTCAAGACTTGCTGCACTCGAACTGGATGTGCAGGGCTGCTCTGTGTCCCTGCATAACAGTAGCTATAAGCCTTGCTTAACAAAAACGCTGGGGCAGTGAAATGCGTAAGTTTATAAAGGAGTTTTCTAGGGTAAAACGTAGCAGACAGGAAAAGAAAAATACAGCATCATACCTATCTTCCTCAACCGGCAAGTTTGTGGCGGTCCTTAATAAAACCAAAAATGTACCCTCTCAAATTAGACGCAATCATTTCACATGCTCACATGAGCACCATAGTTACAGATTACCTTTCAGCGTAGTGCGGCGTGTTCTTAGGAACGTCGTTGATCACGTCAAATAAAACCCACTTTGTTTTTACTTTTCCAACATTTCCGCTGGAGCCGCTCCTCGGTTTTTGCACACCGGAAACAATCTTCAACCAGCGGTCCCTGACATTCTTAAATTTGGCCGCGGCTGCTTCTCCTGCACGGTATATGCCTCCATTAGAAATTTAGAAACGGTTTACTGCATTGTTGAGACAAAACTGGGCAAAGCAAGCCCGAGAAGCTTGCTGTGCCCGCAAAAGAGAGTCGATGCACGGCTGTCATAACTAAGCTAGGCGCCTAGATGTCCTTCTGTTTAGGGTGATGCCATCGTTTGTAGTACCCGATGCCGACAGCACGAGCTCACAGGGAAAACACAAAGAAATCTCCGGTAACAAAAAGTCGCCGTAGCACAGTCAGCGCCACGAGCGCGTGCAGAGACACGTCCTTTCACGCGCTTGAAAACAAAAAAATACAAACGAGCGTTCGGAACAAAATGGCCAGATGTCATCACCCCAAGCGAAGCGCACATGAAGGCCCCCTAATCTCAGGGGCGGATTTAGAGGGGGGGTCCGGATGTCCTGATCCCCCTCTTGATTTCTGCATGTGTAAAATTTAGGGCATGAAACGAGGGAAAGGGGGAGGGGTTTCCTAAACAAATGGTACGTTGACCAACACCTGACCCCCCTCCCCCCCCCCCCCCCCCCCCCTTAGGAAATTCCTGCATCCGCCCCTGCCTGAACCAGCTTCATATCAGCTGCTGAGCCCAACAGACACCTGTGCTTATTTCTTCGAAAGTTACTTCGGAACCCATTACGGGAACCCGTGCGCTAACATCACGGAGTCGGCGCGAGAGGCGTTCACACAACTCGAGTAGGTCGCAAAATAACTCACCGGTGAGACCGAAATCCTCGCCGATAATCGCCCATCGGTTCAGCTTCTCCGCTTTTTCCTTGAACTCCGGGTGTTTTTTATCGTATAGAAACGGGTACATCCGTACCGTTTCGATAAAGCGCTCCATCGTCCTCGTGTTGTTTTCTAGGCTCATGGCGGAAAGATTGTTCGCTGGCTCGCCTGGGCTCGCCACTACTCGGCGGCTCAACTTTCTCGCGAAAGCGTTGCCATGGCATCGCACGTGACTGGATGTGACGCCTCTGATTGGCGCGTCTGCGCCAGCGGCAAGCGGCATACCGAGCGGCAGGAAAATCTTCCCGCTCAACCGATTTTGCGGAACGCGTTTTCAACGCGATCGGCGCGCCGAGCGCGTTTTCTCGCTAGTGTGGGTGGCCCTTTGGTCAAAATCCAAACACACAAAAAAATACACTCACACAGCGCTGAACTATCAACTGAATTGTATTTCAAACTTCCTCTTCTTCGACCCCAAGGAATAGGTTGTCAAGGAAGAAAAGGGGAGACAAGGCAAATGGGGGAAGGCAAAAGAAAAAGAAAAGCAAAACAGATGAATAGAAGACAAAGAAAAGGAAAATAAAGGAGAATAATACTAATGCACCAGAGTCCAAGAGTTACAAAAAATACAAAAATAATTACAAAATTAATCACGCACAGGTATAAACCAGGTGATATGCCGGCCTACTGTCGACTACACTCTCGGCGTAAATAGTTTGAGTGATGCAAAATGTCCAAGAGTTACAGAAATTAGTTGTTAAATAATATAAGATGTAAACAAAAATCAGTGGTTATACTGGCTTACCGTGTACATTTTCGGGACGCATCATGCGAAACACTTCCATCGAGGGGCTAGTCCCGGTCGGCGGATCATTGTCCTTGAGAAACTCGTACACGTCGATGGGCACGTCCCCGCTCGAAAACTCCTTTCCCGTGGTGGAATAGACGAGTTTCCCGTAAAGTCTAAACACGACGTCCGCGTCGTAGTCGTGCTTCCTCAGGAGCTCGGCTGCCACCAGTTCTCGCCACAAGTGCTTGCCCACCCAGGTGTTGCGGCGCGCGCAATCGCACGCAGCACAACCTCGGAGGCCTCGTTCCCGGCCGATACTCTGCCTTCGCGCCTCTCCAGAAAACCAAACACGTCCGCGTGCTTGTCCAAGAGCCGCTCGGCTATCGCGGTAGTCTTTTCGATCACGGTGGTCCACAGATCCATGTCGTGAAACACCGACCCGTAATCCAAATTGCCTTTTGAAGAAGAAGTTTCTCTAAATACGGAGCTCATTGCGTCTTCTTCCGTTTCGGCGTCGCACACGAGCTCGAACAGTTTCACCGCCGCGTCTCCGTGTGCGAGTTTGGCCGCGAGGCTCGGATGGACGCGCTCGCTCCAGTCTGTTCCCGGGATCCGTTCGCGAGGCATCCGCCTGACTCTCTTGATCAGGCCGGCCCAATCCAGCCTGTAGTTTTCAAACGTGGACACCGCCTCACGGTATCGCTCGAACAGCCCTAACAACCTACGCTCGTCCTTCCGCAACTCGTTTATAAATTCGATCACGGTAGGGTTCAGTTCGCAAACCACGCCCTCGGCCAGCACGGTGGCCATGAGTTTAACGTCGATCCAATCGTTTCGGTAATTGAAGGCCCGAGAATGAGAGGTCATCATGGTGTCGTACTCTTCTTTCGAATAATACTCGCGCATCCGCCGAAAAAACCACTCGCAGACGGTGGACCGCTTCGCGAATGTCTTGGCCGCTTCCACGACCCTGACGAGAAAGTACTCGTCCAGGTCGGGGTGATCGTCCACGTAATTCAAGAGCGGAACGTTGGACCGAGCGTCCTTCAGGGTCTTCTCCATTATTTCGCACACCAGGGCGGCCAGCTCGTGGTTGCCCGCCGCCAACAGAGCGTACTTGCGAAGAATCTCAACGTCTCTCTGAAGTGGCGGCAGGGGGAAGCGCCCAAAGAACACGTTTAGAGCCGTCTGTGTCTTTTCAATCGTGCGAACGCAAGCGACGTGCGCGAGAAGAAACCTCATACTGTCGACCGCGTCTCTGACATTTGCGAACGTTTTGGCAAAGGCACTCGGGTCGCACGACTCGCCCAGTTTGGCTCGAATCTTTGCCAGGGCCTCGGCCGCGTGTAGAACCCTGCCTCTGTAATCGGCGTCCGAGAGCACCACTTGCTTGACGACGCGATAATACAGACTACACAATTCCGGAGGAAACACGCCGAGTATCTCGTTGTACAAGTTCTTTACCGACGACACCGTTTTGAGGAGTTGCACTATCTCGGCCGTGTTGTAACCTCTTTCCGTGGCCAGAGTGGACAGCCACTCTTTGGGCGACCGCGTTCCGCGCGTCGTCTCCAACGCCGCGTCGTATCCAAATACCCCGTGGCGGTCTTCCGTGTAGTCGCTACCAACTCCCGTCAGAAAACCCCAGTGCTCTCCGAACGTAGTCAGGCGGCCCACTTCTTCGATCACGGTCCGCGTCCTATTCAAGCTTTCTCTGATCTTGTCTTCCAGTTCTGACAACTGCGATTTATTTAACGCACCGGTACGCACGATTGCGGCCCTGAGGTTCTCGTTGTCGATGGTCGCGTCCAGAGGCACGGGCGATATTCGCTCCTTGGCTCTGCGCATGTGATCGATGGCATCGTCCGTAAATACCTTACGAACGTGTGCCTCGTAAGCCGCCAACGAACACACCAGGGTCTCGGCGTGAGGCACGTACACTTCGGCTAGAGACTCCTTCGACACCGTTCTGCCGTCGCGCATTGCCTCGAATTCGTCGTAGAGGCCGGCCTGCGCGCTAACCGCGTTCAACGTCTTGGCGAATGGCATACAGTCGCGCTGGTAGTAGTAGTTGGTCAGGTGGTTGGGAAAATCTCTCCCGACCGCAAACGCCGCAGACAACACGGCCCGATGCTTTTCAAAGAGAGCGGCCCCTTCGCGTATCCTGTCGGCGATTCTAGCGAGTGTCGCTCCAAACTCGGCCAACTCGTCGGACGCCACTCTGCCTAGGACGTCCTTGGAGGCTCGCAAAAACTCTTGGTCCGCTTCGAGGGATCTGACTCGCGCGCTAGTTTGGGGCACCACGGCTAGGATCTCTCGCCTAGACTCCACGTGCGTCTCGTACTCTGCGTCGTAGATACGGTAGTGCTTTGAGACTCGTTCGTAAGACGCCACGGCCTCGTTCAACTCCCCAGTGGTGTTCAAGTCAAGGCTTTGGACAAGCGAGGGAATTTTTGACACAAGCATCGTAAAAGGCCAGAAACACTTTATATTCGCGAGCGTTGGCGATTCAAAGTCCGGGTGTCGCGAAATGTAGTCGATAACGCGAGATGGAAGTCGAACGCATATCCTCTGTCGTTCGCTCTTTAGAAAACGCAAGACTCGTCCGACCTCCCTCAACCGATCCAACAACTGTTGCGCGTCTTTGAAGGAAACGAGCGTGTTGTTTTGCGCCCGGTTGCGCAGGCGTTCGTACTCTTTTAAGTCCTCGTCAAA